TCCAGTGCTCCCCCACCCCCTGCTTTCATGACTGACTCCTACACACCCCTACACATACAATGACTCTTTTATATAAAGCTCTTTATTACACACATGAGTGTCTATGAGTTTGTGTCTCTAGTCCACCCAGACTAATACACAAGTCGATTCTCTGAAAAGATGAACAAACTTGACAAACCAGTGGCAAATCTAACAGAGGAAAAGAAGGAGATGCAAGTAACTTGACTAAGAAATGAAATTGGTGACGTGGTACCAACTGAACCACAGATCTAATGAAAACACAGAACCAATGAAAATAAAAGGGATAAGAATAACATAATACTCCGAGGAACTGTACCCCAACACGTTTGAAAACCTGGAACACGCCTATAACAAAAGAAGAAATGGAACAGGTTATTTAAAACACCAAAAACCTCCCCAAACCAACAACAACAAAATAACTTCGAGCAGGTTATTTAAAAACACCCAAACCAAAAGAGCTTCACTAGAAAGTTTACCAAGAACCTACAGGTAGTGTTTCTTGTCAACGACAGACCCCGTGTGTATGCCCATTCTTCACATTCCTCTCTGTTGTGTTTCAGGGGCCTAAAAGGACATGTTAGCCCCTTTAAGGCTATTGATTTAATTTAATGTTATTTGGTTGCATGGAGCTGCCCTTTACCACTGAGGTTGATGAAGACGTACACAGACTGACCCGTGTCTAGGGTCCTTTATAGCAGTCTGCTCATCATTCTCCCGCCTCTACCCCACCATCGCCAAGCAGTTCAATGTCTATGAGCATTGAAATCGTCGCTCAATGTTTAGGGATGGGATTTCCTCTCTGGCCGAACCAACCCAGGATTTCATTCCTAGATACATAATGTTGGTATATTGACGATCAATTTTAAATGATCCTCCAGTTTTGAGGCCACGTATGTGTAAAGTTTAACCATATTGTAAAATATCTATTCTGTATTAGAAATAACGAGTTGGGCGCTTACACTTCCCGAAGTTCATGTTGTTCTGTGCACAAACTCAGTCTCTCTCTGTGCAGTTGGTGAGTCTTTTTGTGTTTCTCCGAATAAAGGCAGTGATTTATTTCCCCTCCCCCAATACAATTTGAGCTCATCACTCAAGGTAGGTCCTTTACATTTTAATAAAGCTGGAATCAGCAGGAGCCCTACAGGAAACCAGACAAGGCATTGCCTTTTGAGTATGAACTTTTAAAAACTGTTGTTTTCTTTTGGAACTAGAGTTAGAATCGTTACGATTCATTCCACAAACCATCGTGATGTGTACGTTATTGTTGCTACTGTGGGAAGAGAGAAGTTAATTTACTTTTATGCCAGCTTACGGTGCGAGAACACAGTCAGTCAGTTTGGGCTTTATCGATCCTGTGATGCTTGTCCTAGGAACGTCTTTCGCGTATTAGAGGTTCGTGGTTGAAAGTTTAATGTATTGTTTTTACAGAATAAATTTATTGGACTGTGTTAAAAAAAAGTTTACCAAACACACAGAGAAGAGCTGACATCAAGTCTACTCAAATTACTCCAGAATATAGAAAAGGATAGACTATTCCCTAGTGCGCTTTGCAAAGCAAGAGCAACCCTGATCCCAAAGCCAAACTCATAGCCCTGGAGTTGATTCCGACTCACGAGGAACACACAGAGCAGACAGACCTGCCCCTGTGGGTTTCTTAGACGGTAAGTCTTCACAGGAGTAGAAAGCCGCATCTTTCCCTCTCTGAGCGGCAGAGGGTTTGAACTGCTGATCAATAGCTCTCGCGAATGTAGACATAAACTAAGAGATTGAGATATCCTAAAAAGTAAACTCTTATGTGCATCAAAGTTTTCTCCAAAAGAATAAAAAGAGCATATATAGACTGGAAAACAAAACAACTTTATGACAACATATCTGACAAGAGACGGATCTCTACAATTCATAGAAAATTCCAACACTCCAATTTAATTTTAAAATGAGCAGAGGACACGAACCAGCACTTCACTAAGGAAAACTTCCAGGTGGCCAACAGACCCGGGTCAAAATCCTCATGATCGTTAGTCCCAAGAGAGATGTCAATCAAACTGCCTATTAGCTATTGTCTCACCTCAGTGAAGTTTAGCAAGACAGAAAATAGCCAACGCTGGAGCGACTAGAACTCTCCTAGGCGGCTCGCGGGATTGTGACGTGGTAAAACCACCTTGGAAAATGGCCTGGCAGTTCCGTAAAAGCTAGAAAGAGAGCTACCCTTTATCCCAATGGTGCCACTCCTGAGCATGTCGTTTAGAGAAGTGAGAGTTGGAACGCAGTGCACAGGCATGTCCACCCGGCATTGTCCACGCTAGCAAAGACACAGAAGCAACTGAGGCACGGACCACACGCCACAGTGCACAAGTGCGACAGACGGCTACGCAGCATGACAAACTAACAAGGAAAGCATGAAACACCTGACCATGCGGGTGCGCCTGGGGGGTAGCGTGCTGAGGGAAACACATCAGCCGCAAAACCGTGTGAGGACCGCAGTTCTAAAACGATCCTGAGAAGTTGACATGCGGAAGAAACGTACCAGGGGTAGGAAAGGCGAAGAAGGGAAATTACCAACTGGGTCATCCGCGTGTATCGGTTTGGCTGAACGGGAAGGCGATGTACAGTGAGGGGCTGATCAGCCCAGATCACTTAGACAAAGGAGGGTCCCGAGAGACCCGCAAGAGTCACAGGCAACGGAAGTAAGCGCAACCCGAATGCGACCAGTACTAAATGGTCATCTGGGAGTGGATTCCCAGGTAGACATGCAAGCGGCACCGGTGGGCAAACGGGTTGACCCCACGGGGACACATAGGTTTAACAGAGGCTATTTCTGTGTACGCATTTGTACGTGCTGTAAATAATAGCGCGCACGGCAGACAAAAATAGGAAGACTTCTTGGCCATCAGAAAAGACATGGTTAATAGGCGCAAAGACAATATACTACAGCCTGCTGTGGGGAGTAGCAAGCCAAGTCTTAAAAGCTAGCTAGAGGCTGTTGAAGAGGCGACCACTGGCCTCTCTGTGCAGAGGAAAGAAGAGCGAAGAAATCAAGGGCCCCAGGAAATAATGAACGCAGACCAGTACCGGGCCATCTGGACCACAGAGTTCACTACCCCCAGACCAGAGGTAGACGGGCCCGGCTACCACCACTCACCACTCTGGTCGGGGCCACAGGAGGTCCCGGGCTGAATGAAAGAAAATGTAGAATAATGTTCAAACTCATAAACAAAACAAAAACCCATACTGGTCTGATAGGGATCAGGGGAACCCCTAAGATGGTGACTTTGGGGATACCCTTCAAACCTAGGACTAAACCCACCCGCAGGGACTACCTTGCAGCCAAACAACGGACAAGTCAATAGGTGAGCAACAGCACACCAGGTAACGCTTCAGGATAACCAACCACAGCGTTTGCCCCAAACAAAGCTCAGCAGACAGGAAGGAGCAGGAAAGAGGGTTGAAGGGACACTTGGGAGTCCAGGGAGGAAGTGGGGAGAGGGTTGTTCCCTCGAGGGAATTGGCAATAATGTCACAATGCACAATGGGTCTGACTTGTTGAATGGAAAACTAATTTGCTCTCAAACCGTTCACCCACACCATAATTTAAAACAACAACAACAATAACAACACCCTTGCCATCTCCTTTGGGCGAAAACCACTATTCGAGAGTAGAAAAGAAATCGCCTGATTGTGAAATCCCACAGAAATAAAATACCACCCTAGGCTGATTCGTATTTTCACGGGAGAAGGTTATTTCTATGTGAAGGGGCTGCTTCTCGTTTGGAATGTGGGCAAACCGGTTTATAATGATCGACTTATTGCACATGTTTTGTTGCCCACTTTTCGGCAATCTGCAGTACTGGATGTAACCCACAGGCCCTGGAGCCAAGAGCTGGCTTTGTGTGTCCTGGCTGTCACCTGTGTGGTCTTTGACAAAAGTTGTGAGGCTCCGTCTCAGGTGAAACTAATGGCCTTTCCTTGTGCAGAGGCAAGAAGAAGAAGGAGAGGAGAAGAAAATCAAAGGCGAATGTAAACCATTAGACCAGTCATTGAATGGACCTTTCAACCACCAGTTTCCACAACCATGGGACCAGAGGAACCTCTACCAACTGTTCTGAAAGGGATCGCGTTTAAAGGTCCCGGATAGAGTGGGAGAAACACGGGGAACAAAACTCAAAGCCATAAAATAGACCAGGCTTACTGGTGAGATAGAGACCGACGGAACCCCCAAACTATGCCCCTTAGCGAGTCACCTCCAGGTCTGGAAATAAATTCACCCCTCTGGCTCCACTTTCAGCCACGACAATAGACGGGCGGTGTGAATCCCTTAATCGACCATATGGGGTCAAAAGGCAGCAGTTCCCGGAGAACGAGGTCACGAAGGCTGAGGGCAGAATGAGGACGGGGCAGGAACCACAGAGGAAGTGGGATACGACTTCTATGCAGGGAATCTCCATGCAGGAGAGGAAACAAAATGTGTGTGAGTTGTTGAGTGGGAAGCAGATCTGTTTGGTTAGGGCTCCACCTAATTCGCAACGGAAGGTGAAAAATGTTACAGAAGTTAAAGCCTCGATTTCCTCCTCAGAGAAACAAGAATAACTCCACCCGTGCCACGGACAAGCCGTGGGGCAGGCCGGAGTTCACCTTGACAAAGAGCCTGCAGGAGTGCCCGAGATACGTTCAGTGCTTGGGACATGTTTGTTCGCCCCCCCACTTTCTTCCTCGTAGCTCATTTTAGATAGGGACATGTCAACAGACGCCGTGAAATAAATGCAACAGAACGATGGTCGGTGTTTATTAATCCTTCGGCGAAGCGTTGGTCTGCTTAACCAGCAGGTTCAAACCTACCGGCTGCTCTTCAAGAGAATGACGCGGTTGTCCGCTCGCATGAAGAGTCACCGTCTCAGAAACCCTAGGGAGCGGTTCTCTGTCCCATCGGCCGCTGGGCCTCTCGGGACTGACTCCGGGACCGTGCGTCTGGTTTCAGCTTCCGGTCATACCCGAGTGAAAGGTTCCTGTGGTTCCTGTGAAGAAGCCTGTCTCACTTGCGCCCTGGGCTGCAGGTGGAGCAGGTGGTACAGGTGTCTCCTGAAGGCCGTGTCAAAAACCACATGGAGGAGCGGATTGATGCCGCAGTGGGTGGCGGCAAGGATTTCCGTAATGTGCACCGCCCTGTGCAGGCCATAGGCGCTCTTGCAGTCCTGCAGGGAGAAATGCTCTTTGAAAGTAGACAGGAGAAGGGCGATGTTATAGGGCGCCCACATCAGAAGGAAGATGGCTGTGGTGGCCAAGGTCAGCTTGTAAAGATCACCCCTCTTCTCCCTGAAGCTCCGTGTGCGGCTCACTTGCGCGTGGCAGTACAGAAACACCAACAGCGGTAGCAGAAGCCCCAAGATGTTCATCTCTAAGGTCAGAAACCACTGCCAGGTCTCATCAGCTGGCAGAAAAGTAGGCCTGCTGTACAAACACTTGTCTTCCCACCCTTGCACCCGAGGCCTGTCCACCGTGTGCTCGGGCAGAGTGACCAGAACAGCCACCGTCCACACCAGGACACTGGTTAAGAAGCCCCAGGGCACTTTCCTGGAGGACCTGGACATGCATTGCACTTGATGAACCACCAGGTACCGGTGCACTGTCAGGAGCATGTTCAAACAGGCCTCGCTATACAAACCTACGGTGTAGACACCCACCAACAGCATACACTCGCGGTCCCCCAACGCCCAGCCATGTGAGGCCGAGTGAGCCCAGAAGGGCAGGGTCAGTGAGAACAGCACGTTGGAAATGGCCAGGTTCAGGAAATAGACGTTGTCCAGGCGTCTCAGGCCTTTGTGTTTGACCAGGATGTGCAGCACCAGGAGATTGAGCAGCAGACAGACCACAAACACGAGGGGATAGAGCTTCGGGAGCAGCTGGGCGGAGAGAAGCTTGGGCTGATAGGGATCACACTGCTCTGTGACGCTGTGATTCAGATCCCCCTCGATGAGAACATCGTAGTCATCCTCGGGCGCTGCCGTGTAATTATCCATGCTCGGCCTCCCCTGTGGATGAAGGAGACGTCATTCCTCCCCCCACTTCCTACAGGAAACAAAAAGAACAGCACCGCCCCCCTGCGGCTGTGTTGTCAGGTGCCACGGGAGGGGGGAACCCTGACTTGTGCCATCCCCACCGCGTGACACAAGAGCCTAATTTCCCCAGAGCATTTCCTCCGCTGTCACCTTTGTGGGAGCCGCCGTTGGGTCGTTTGTCTGATGAGCCACCCAGCAGCCAGCGCTTTGGCCGCCGTCTGTCCCCTTTCCTGACCTTTCATGTCAGTCAGGGTTGGTTTACAACACAGGAGCTTAAAAATAAACATTTCCTGCCCCAAGAGCAGCTGCTGGAACAGACCGAGCCCCATCGTGCTCAGGCTGCGCCAGCTCCCGCGGGGTCCATCAAAGCAAACGCCACACCGTCCTAGAAGCTCAAGTTGCCTCCGCTTAGGGCAGAAGCAGGTCTTGCCTGCTTGAAGACAACCGGTCAGAAAATACACAGCGGAAGAGGACCGAGCAACCTGCTCTGACTTTCAAAAGAAAGAAACTCGGCAGGGGAGGTCATCGATAGGCGTCCACACCGTCCACTCACCCACGGAAACAGCTTTCCCACGACAGCCGGAGACGGCCTGGTCTCGAAGGACAGAGACAGCTGTTCACAGAAGTGAAAGCAGGCTGGGTGTCTGCCTGGATTTCACCAGCGGGCTAGACCCAGATGACATACCATGCCACTGAGTTCCTGGGCGGGGGGAGGGCCCGGCCTGCACACCCTCCATGGAACCGAGGGACTGGTCTTGGACAGCTGACAGGAGAAACAAATGACCCCAAACCTGGCTTTCTTCTGCACTGCCTGGCTCAGGCCTGACCCTCAGGGGCAAGAGAGCAGTGTGCTCAGTCCGTTGTCCGGTGGCCCTGGCCCAGCAGCGCCGAGAGCCCCTTAGAGCCTCCAGACTTTCACCAGAGAGCCGGTATGTATTTCTAAAGCCACGGAAAGAAAACCGGAAGTCGTTTCTCCTCCCTCCACCCACTGCGCCCCACCTAGGATTCCCC